TATCAAGCTAAGGATCAGCCGTGCTGCCCGGCCATCCAGGCGGCTTCCGAGCCAGAGAGGAGACATATTCACTTAGGGCTAGGAGCATACTACTGGGAAATAGTCGTGGGACATTAGAGCATTTTCGAACCAAAAACTATTACAGAAGCTAACAGAAGCTAGGTGCATTTTCAAACCAAAAACTATTCAAAGCCCGGGCAAAGAACAGATCAAGGTGTCGACAAATGCTATTTTTAATAAAAGAACACTATAAATATCCAGCTACGGATCAGCTGTGCTGCCCGGCCATCCAGGCGGCTTCCGGACCAGAGAGGAGACAAATTCACTTAGGGCTAGGAGTACTGGTATCAGCTTGATATTAATATAAGTGATTTTTCTGGGCAAGTCATGTTTCAGGCTAGTTCTATTTCTTTTCTATTACTTTGTATCAGCTACTCTCTTCTGGTACTTTCTTTCGCAAAAAAACAAAAACACTCTCTTCTACTAATTCAAAGAGCAGCTCACCTGCTGACTTGGTAGTATATATATTGATACTCATATAAAGTAAAGTAAATCAATATTCCAGAATTCTTTGCAAAAAAGTACTCCATCCGTCCCAAATTATTTCACTATTCACGTATTGAGACCAGCCAGCATGGTAACAAAGGGAGGCAGCCTGAATATGTTGTCCCCAGTGAGATTGAGTGAGCTAAGATAGTAGGATTTGCCAGTTCATAGGGAGAACTTCAGCAAGTCTTGAGACCATTCACCACTGAGATTGGGTGACGATGCAAGTGAAGTTGTGAAATTGGTGCCTCTCTCGATGAACCCCTTGATGGCCATCGAGAGATTACTTGAGCAGCTGGCATCGGCGGTAGACTCACACCATATTTTCACCTTTGTCAGATCCTTCATATTAGCCAAAGCTCAGTTGCAACCTTGGGTGGGGAGAAAAATATAAGAGAATGATTTTTCTACACCTCAGCTGGTGCACCCATGCAAGAAAACATAGCCAAACATTTCGAAAAAAATCTGAAACTTCATGAGAATGATTTTTCTACACCTCAGCTGGTGCACCCACGCAAGAAAACATAGCCAAACATTTCGAAAAAAATCTGAAACTTTGTGAGAATGATTACGAACAAATGTTACGGATGCATGCACGAGTTTGGTGGTCAAATAACATCCGAGGAGTTCTGTACAAAAAAATTACTCAAAATGTATGTGCACTGTTTGAGCAGAATTTGTAATTTTGTCTTTCATGTGCATAACTCCTTGGATGTTATTTGACCACCAAACTTTGCTAGCATCCACAACATTTGTTCACAATCATTTCCATAAAGTTTTAGATTTTTTTGAAATGTTTTGCTACGTTTTCTTGCATGGGTGCATCGTGGGTGCACCGAGCTGGGGTTCAGCCACTACTTTTTCAAAATATAAAGGATCAAATACAGCTTAGAGTTCACTAACCTATTACTAAAGCACTGCAAGCATCCCGAGTCTCCATGTAAGTTTACAAGATGCCTATGTGTAGTTCACGGTTACCTACAAAATATATTACTTCTCGAGTGCTACATCGCGTGTTCATAGATTTTTTTACTCATCTCCAAAATAGATTTTTTTACAAAATGTATTAGTTTAATCTGGCAGTCTGGCACGCCATCGATGCGCCCTGCGTGCCAGCCAATGTGAAGGAAAAAACGTTATAGTAGATGCACTAATCAACTCTGGACCTTTGTCGCCTTTTGTTGGGTTAAATGCCTCGTCGATCCAAGCGGTGGGCGGTGCATTCGTACTTTACTTCAACGTGGCAGCCTGCACGCAGTGGAGATAAACTTAGCATTTGCATTGAGTCCAAACAGAGAATGAACTCATAAGCTTTTCACACCACATGCACCAAAGTAGTTATATTTTCACAAAATTTTCAATTAGGAGGGGTAGTGCAGGATGAGCAACAAGGGGAACAGGGGGCAAAGTATGGGGATAATGGAAATGAGTTGGGGGCCTGCAAGCACAGTGGCAACTGGCTACCCCTCAGGGCTTTACCTGCGCCATGACGATCCGGATTGTGAGTAATGCATGCTCGGAATGCAAGTACCACACCTTGCGCCAATGACTGCTATCGGGACAAACAGGAGGAACAAAATGGGAAAGATGTGGTGTGAGCATCTGTTATTCTCTTTGTGTTCTTATAGTTTGAACAATCTTCAAAAGCCAAAAAGAAATACCGGAACATATGCTCAAAAGTATCTATAGTAAACACATTGCATAGAGACAAAGTCAAGTGACCGGCGATCAACAAAACATGGTGAAAAATATGAAAAGTTAATGTACTCAAAATTACAACATATCTGAGTTAGTGGATGTCCCTCGATACACGGAAGTTATCTCTTACTACAACCGTCCTGGTTTATTGGTACCTATTGTATTTTGTGTCAAATTTTAACCATAAGTTTAACTAACAAAGTGTTTATGCATGTCATAGAAAATTATATCGTTATAAACTATGTTCAAATACAAATCCAACAATATAATTTTTGTTGACATGCATTAACTAAAATTTGGCACAAGTTGCAAAGGGCACCAATAAACCAGGACGGAGGTAGTAAGTTGCCAAAATTATATATAATTAACCTACTATTAAGCACTGCAATCCAGACACAAGCCAAACCTCAGATGTAGAAAAAAAATGTCCCGGTTTAGTAGCCAGCAAAACATCATAGTGGCTGCCTCATAGGCCTTTTGGGTGTCAGCAACTCGTACTGGCTAGTCCAAGAATGCATCGATCCTGGCATGGCATGCTCTATTTCGCCCAGTCGACTCAAAGGTTAGTCAGAGTGCAGAGTAGTGGTTCCAGCATGCATTTGTATCGATACTGGCAAGCTTAGAGTACTGTGCATTTGGGGTTTAGTTATAAAAAACTGCATCAGCAGGCACAGCATCTGTCGTGCCTGGCCACGTGCTTTGTCAATTGTTAAACTTATCTTTCTCTTTACAAAGCAGGGGCGATGCACTTTTTATCTACAGCTAGCAGTCAGACACGTGATGCGGGTCGGCTTCCCATTTGATTCGAAACGGATGGTGTTACCGTTGGATCCGGTCGATGCTCCACCGGGTCCAATCGGAAGGAGTTGTGGAGGAGGAGAAACAACGCGGAGCAGGAAGGCAAAAGAATGACGAGAAGGAATGCCAAACCTCAGATGCAACCTTGGGAGGTGGAGCTCACACTCAGCCAGTGTGCAGAGTACACAAGATAGTGGTTGCCCTTCCCTAGGGGCTAGCTCAAGCATACATTTGCATCTATACTGGCGAGTGGCGACCTTAGAGGACGGTGCGTTTGGGGTTTAGTTAAAAAGAAGTCTTTTAAGCAAGAAAGCATCAAGAAACGCACCGTCGTGTTGTGCCTCGCCATCTGCTTTGCCAGTTGTTAAACTTATCTCCCTATTTGCAAAGCTGCAGGGGCGGTGCATTGTTTTACTACAGCTAGCAGTCGGACATGTGATGCGGGTCAGCTTCCCATTTGATTCAAAACGGATGGTGTTACCGTTGGATCCGGTCGATGCTCCATCAGGTCCAATCGGAAGCAGTTGTGGAGGAGGAGGAGAAACAACGCGGAGC